GCATACCCCTATTATTGAGGTACGTTCTATAATAGCATTAAGATGAATTAATATTATTACCAGAACATGCACCGAACGAAAATGTCGGTCAACCCTAAGCCAGTGGCTTTAAATCTTTATCGACGACTCTACAAAAGAAAAACACGATAATTTTACGAAATTCACCGTTAGCATATTTACAATTCATCATTTATTAGCAATTAATTAGCATTATAATACGCCCATGAAGGCTGGATGAATAGGCTATGATGTGCTTTACCGCACCGGGCGAAGCGCTCACCTAGTACGATAGCATCGCCACTCTGTCGTACTTTTCAGTGCTAGTTTAAAATCAAAGTTTACTGAGCGGCCCAATCGCGCGCCAGTCTCACCAAAATATAAAAAAGGTTATATGGGACAGAATTATTCGGTCTAGGGGGAGGAGAGAGAAAAAGAGATAGTGCATATATGTATACACGCGCGTATTTGCGTCTGTGTTGCACATTATTGATGAATGAGAGCGAAACTGCGACGCAGCAGAGAAGGGGAGATGGAGACAGAGGAAATAGGTGCGAAGGATTTAGGGATGGGGCGGGGAGAGAAGGAAGGAAGAGTGAGAGGATCGAGAGGGCGAAAGGCAGGGAGTGAGGAATTTGTTTAATCACTGTAATTTCCCTTTGGATCGCTTATATGTGTCAAAACAGTTACCCATCTTGCAAACGCAACTCTGGGGAGCAATCGTCAGTAATTGTTCACTGCTCAGGGTGGTTGTTGCAAGTCTAGCCACGGAACAAGCCATCTGCAACACTACGTTCGCGCCCTCTGAACCACCTGCTAACGCAATTCTACTGCAATGCATAAATCCGCACTCTCAGTAGAATGCGCACTCCCAGGTGAAACATTAACATGAAACATTAGCGCGCTTTGATATAACATCTGACGACGGTCATATCCAGAGAACATGTCATCGAGCGACCTCTAGCAAGATATTTTTCTATGTAGGTAATTCTTAGCAGCTAATGTCTCCTGTTAATGAATGTTTGAGTACAATAGTGTGCGCCCGGGCACCGTTAACACGCTCAAAGGGAACACTACTACGCAACACCGACACAAGGGTCTGCAATCACCAATGGCCGCGTTGTTACATGTTAAAGTAAAAATATCAATTTAATATTTTCACTAGTGATGAATAGCATACCTCAGTTTGACAGTTATGGAGGCGATCTTTGTGGGCGCGGACACGAAGCTGCTGATTACGAGAACGATGAGGTAGGGTATCAGGTAAGAGCAGCCGATATCACACGTGCCGTGCGTCGCCGTGCCGTCACCTCCAACACACGCGCAGTCCGAGTAGTTCTGATGAGTGAAGATGTAGGTAATTAGAGTGAGTAGCAGCCCGAACTTTTCACCCACGTGTAGCGATTACAAGTTGGCGGCTACGCTATATATATATATATTAGCGCCGATGTACTTGTCTTTTCATCCACGAAAAAGGGACAAGTTAAATTTTCCGTAGATGTGGCTATGATCATAATCTTTTACCCAATTTAAAATGTGAAAATTTCATTGTGGTTTATAGTTCAAAGGTCCTATTGCGATTATAAGAGAAGGTATATGTCACCGAATTTTTTTTGGGTTGGTACGCGCTCAACTCTCCACAAAAATGAATCCGATTACCTGTTATCGTACAACAACGTTCCAGTACGATCAGTGCTATATAATAAGAGGACGACATTTTAAGCAGAGATCACAGTCGCGTGCGGAGAATTCTTGCAGCAATTGTCTAGAAGCATGGCTTCCACGCATTGCTAACCTCGTGAGGGGCAATGCCGTCCATTCGTTCACATCCCGCGTGGCAGCCGGAGAAATACGTTACGGCATCGGAGCCGCAGACGGGCGCATAGCTCGTGCGGTCACACTCGCATGACATACTGCAGTTGTTGGTCAGGTCATACCTGCAATGTGAACAGGCTAGCGCTGAATACTCAATCATTTCGAAGACGAATTATGTATAGCAAGCAGGTCGACATACGCTGCCCGAAAATCAAACCGACATTTAATGTAGCGAGTCTGACACTTCTATTTCCCTCGCGCCTTATATACTGTCAATATATCTATATCCTGTTCATGTCTGAATATCATTGCGCGTACATTCTCACGCACGCTTCTTTAGCTAAGCCACGCTGTCGCGGCTACTGCTTCAATCCCGAATCCTCCACTGTGACACCCCTTTACGTGATAATAACTGTGGTAATAGACAACATAATAGTGACCCGTTTTTCTCAACGCTTCAAAATTAACTGTAAACCCTCTAGACGATGCTAAGCGTGCGTGTTGGTGTAACTCACACGCGGACTCGTATTGTAAAGTAGTTGCGCGTAAGTGTGTTAATATACTCGTACTAACATATACACTTGTTACAACATGTTTTTGGTTAGATTGACTTCTACAGATTAGTGTACCGTATAGCTGCTATAGTTATGTAAACATTACTGCATTCCGTCTCGTAACGTAGCACAGTTAATTCGAAAATGTAAATTAAACGTTTTCATGTAATCTTTTCACTTATTTATAGCTAATGAAAAGAGCATATATAGAAGCATTCTCAATATAGACGTATTTCATATGGGATATTTACGCACATACCCCGAGTCGGTCAACTGACCACCGGCGAAATCCACATTGTCGCATCCAAGAAAGGCGAAAATCACGAGTGAAACTATTGTAACGAGGTTGCCGGTTATAATCATGGCTATGCCTCCCTTCGGCTGTATCTTGGCCCTCTTCATGAAGTAGGCGCTCAGCAATATGCCAAGGCACGAGGACATGATACCCATGAGTCCTGCACGGTACAACACGAACATCTCAGGCTGTTGTCGTGTTGAACGATGTAAAAATTTAATATCAACAATCGCTATCGACCAACAATTTGCGTGATCCTTCCACTTTGGTTTGCAAATTTTAAACTTTTTCTACTGCGATTCACAGTATTAATCTATATATTTGATCAGCTTTGTGTCTCTGGGTCTTTGACATAGTCCCTTGGACTTTGAAGACTAATCTTTATAAGGTTATCAGGTATACGACAGTTGCCGTAATTGTAAATTATATTGTTTAATTTTACTTAGTAAGTTACCTGTACGTAATAGCTACTTCACAAATCTCTACGCGAGTTCAATATTGTCGTAAGTAGTAGCGCAGCTGTAATAAAGTGTCAAGAATTGGCAAGATCTCGGTGCTGCGAGCGGACCTTGTTTTACTCTAGGTGAATATACGTGCAAAAACAATCGTCGTGTGCCGTGTGTGCGTGTCGCGTGGCGTCTCGTCGTGTCGCGTCGCGTCGTGTCCTGTCGCGTCGTGTCGCGTCGTGTCGCGTCGTGTCGCGTGGGCGCGTGTGTGCGCGCGCATGCGTGCGTGCATGAGTGAGTGCTTACGTGAGTGTATGTGTACGTGCGTGTGTGCGTAACCTTATAATTGAAACATCAGAGCGAGTGATGCTCTGGCCACGACTGGCCCAAAATTCCAATTCTTGCCCCTCACACATATGGTTCTTTGCCCATGTAAAGTAAAAACTTTCTTAGAGCGAAAAACGCAATTATATTACATCCCAGCTCTATGCTTGTTTTTTTTTCCTAAATTTAATACGCGGAAAATGTCATGTGCATATAAACAATATTCGATAGGCGATCAATTCTAATTCACATCAAGATGTGAAGCTCACTTACCCGTGTACATGCTCGCCTTATGTGCAGGTACGCGAAATTGCGCTTCCAAATATTTCGGTAAAAAGACCAAGTAACAGGCGATTATATAGACGTCAAATATCGCGCCGAGTAAGACGAAGATGTAAGTCTTGTTCGTCAGAAGTCGTAGAAGTGCTGTGCCTAAATCTGCAACGGCGTTAATGGCAAGTATATAATAATTCACATTTGTATAAATCTCGGAATAAAATCATCGCATTTTAACGGTTAAAATAATAGCCAGTTTAAATAACAAATCCTACACGGACTACGAAATTGTACTACACGATACGTAATGTTGAGATTTATAACTCATGTAAATCAACTGGGGTTTGGTCAGTTCTGGCATAGACGTACGGGGTTATTATACCACGTTTCTAATATATTATCGCATTGGGCCACTGCCACGCTTCTATTTTGTATAGAAATAGTCGCAAACGTCACAAGTGGCTCGTTGAGGTGGGCGCCCTGGACCACAGTAGGCGCATCGGTATCTCTGACCCATATAATAATATTATATATCTAATTAATTCTAATTATCGCTCTACTAATCTCTCTAGCAATCTATATCACCTATCATCTATTATCTAACTAAAATATAAATATTTACGATATAACTAGATCATCTAATTCTAATTCACCACGGCGAACCTTTTGAATGAACAGTAAGCGACTTCCCAGTTGGTTTGCCCTTGGTCTCGGTGCTTGTGGTAAGCTGTCCACTTGTAAGGGCATCACGGTCAACCCTATGATCACGCTCGTGAGTGCTTACTGCTAAGTGTTTCGGGAACATGGCCATTGGTATAGAAATGATCGCCAACAACACGGCAATCAGCAGAAACCCCAGCCACCATGCGCCGATCCAGGCTGGGTCGCTTGGCGTCAGATTCGTATCTAGTAAATTTAGATACATGGTCAGCTACCGAGTGAAGTAAAATTACTGCTTAAATTTCAACTATAGAGTCAGAAACTAAAAACGTGAAAAAGTAGTCGAATTGATTCTGTGCAAATTGCGGGGTTAGATAACTTAAGATAATTGAGGATTAGCTTTTGGTAGGCAGTCTACATGTACTATACGAGAGCGTACTAAAACTGACCTGATAAATTAACGTATAATCGAGTAAAAATGCTTCCAAGTACGAATCCGAGCGCAGGTCCAAATAGTCGCAAGGTGTATGTTATGCCTATAAAATGGAGTACATCAAAAGTTAAGAAACATCTTTTGTACATGCCAGACTAACAACATCACGTTTCATGGTGAACATAAAGTTTGTTTTGGACACTTAAGCGAAAGTGTTCAGGACTGGAATGAAAAATAGAAATGGCATTTCTTCACTTTATTTACCCCTTTGCACCAAAGAATTTAGAATGTTAGAAAGACTCGCAATCTTGCATAGGTATCCTAGGTGACTCAAGCCAGGTATACAGACAATATGTAAAAATTCCTGTTTGGCTTTCAGTCGATCATAGGGCCTCAGTAACTGCGATGCTTTGGTTTTTGTGACAGGGATTCTTTCTCTATGTTCCTCTTCTATTTGCCAACATTAGGGATATTTATATAGGATTAATTTCTATAATTGGCATCAACTGAAAGAAAATAGCCTTCATTGCAATTACATTAGCAGTGATCAAGGCAGAACTCGAGCCCCAAAGGGTTCAGCTCGAATATATTCGCGCTAAACATTAATTAAGGCGCCACTGCCCACCTGGGTAGATTTTTTAATAATCATACATCAAACCTAGATAAAACGCCGAGTTCTCGGGTTCGACGTTATCATCAATGTAGCTGGATCCCAGCGCAAATAGGCTGGAGCAACCGATCCCCAATATCAGTTGCCCTATGATAATGATTCCAATCGCCATCTTGTTCGTCTGCGGCGTGACGTCACACGTGTCGGGCATGGCGACGCCGACGCACGTGTCGCGCCACGCCGACAGATTCAGGCCCGTGTCGGACTGTCGCTCCTCGTACGTGCCGCCGCCGTAGATGTAGTGCGGCACCGACGTCAGAAACACGCCGAGCGCGAAGATTGCCGACAGCAGAGCGATGACGCGCGGCCGGTGCGACCTGCCTCCGAAGTGACTGCCGACGAGCACGACGATGGCTTCTGTCAGGTCGTTGAAGATGAGCAGCATTCCCGACTTCTTGCTCGGAAATTCGAAGCGCTTCTCGAGCGTCGACAGCACGGAGATGCGGTAAGCGAAGAAGGCGCCGACGCAGATGAAGACGCCGCTGAGCGCCAGCACGAACAGCTTGATGTCGGCGCACGGCTGCAGACACGTCGGGTAGCAGCGCAGCTCCGGATCCGACGTTTCCTTCCGGGCGTCGCTCGTCGCAGACGTGTTTTCCTGCGTGAGCGCCATGTTGCGTGTAAATTTGTGAGGCTTTCGAGTTTTGTGTAGGACTTCGATTCGTTATCGCGCGCGCGGCAAACTACGGTGCGGTGCAGTTCGAATGGACTGCAAGTGCACACTGCGCGAGATGTCTCCTTTCTGTTTGTTTTAGTTGATGTAATTACGATAAAGCGCACACGTTGAGTCGATATAGTCGTGTTGATACGACGGTGTTGCCCTTAGAAAGAATGTAATCGACAACATTTTTTTATAATACATAGGTCATCCTTCACACTTGAGATAATACATGAGATGATGTGACGATCTTTAGCCTTGATAGCGATAACGATTCTGCAAACGCAATGTTTGTGCACAGGGTGCCAAGTACAGTAGCTTAAGATCCTATCTCGTCAAAATAAAGTATAGCACTTAACAGTTAGGTACACGACATATACACATTCACGTGCACGCACGGGCGCACGCACAGTAAGACCCAATACATTGCCTGATCCATATACGTGGTCGTTGTTGACGGTTTCGTGCGTACGTAGCAGTCATTAATTGCCTTATTCATATCTCCTAAGGCCTAAGCCATATCTGGCCGATATTTCCTGCGTCGGTACTTTTTCCTGTTTCCTACATGTTAACTGCCTCAGTACGCACGAATAACTAATTCACTTGTCCAGCATATCTCTACGAAGTCTTGCACAGGTTATCAATTACTGCCAACACCATAAACGCAACATGTGATATCGTACTTTCATTATTTTATTTATTTTAAAACAAAAAATTTATTTATACACATGTATACATATATAAAGATTAATCTGCATTATGAGTTATAGTTCACTGGCAATTGCATCAGATGTAAGCATATCAGCTTATAAAATAATACAGAAAACACACGCATATGCTATTGTGATCGAAATATTGGACGGTGAACAACACTGACCAATAAACATGTATGCACATAAACATTTGCACATTTGTATATTCCCCGCTGTATGTCACAAATGATTACAATAACACCAACGTAAAACTAACATAAATATAACTCATATGCTTCAATTCAAAGGTAGGTTTTTAAAATTTTAGTTAAGGAATGGTTTGCTCCTAGTAACGAGAATGACTCCGCACACCGAGACCATATCGATTTCTATATGAGGAGCTTCCGTGTGAGTACCGATAGTAATATCCTGGTCTCCGAGTTGTGGTACTGTGGTGGGAACCATAGTAATACCTTGGCCTATCCGTCGTTGTCGTCTCATGATGGTAACCATAGTAATAGCCTGGTCTCTCAGTTGTTGTCGTACTATGATGGTAACCATAGTAATAGCCTGGTTCATCCGTTGTCGTTGTTTCATATCCATAGTAATGTTCTGGTTCATCTGTTGTTGTTTCATATCCATAGTAATGTTCTGGTTCATCTGTTGTCGTTTCATATCCATAGTAATGTTCTGGTTCATCTGTTGTCGTTTCGTGTCCATAGTAATGTTCTGGTTCCTCTGTTGTCGTTTCATATCCATAGTAATGCTCTGGTTCATCCGTCGTTGTTTCATGTCCATAGTAATGCTCTGGTTCATCCGTTGTCGTGGTTTTATATCCATAGTAATGCTCTGGTTCATCCGTTGTCGTGGTTTCATGTCCATAGTAATGTTCTGGTTCATCCGTTGTCGTTGTTTCATGTCCATAGTAATGCTCTGGTTCATACGTTGTCGTTGTTTCATGTCCATAGTAATGCTCTGGTTCATACGTTGTCGTTGTTTCATGTCCATAGTAATGCTCTGGTTCATACGTTGTCGTTGTTTCATGTCCATAGTAATGCTCTGGTTCATCTGTAGTCGTTTCATGTTCGTAACCATAGTAATGGCCTGGTCTCTCAGTTGTTGTCGTCCTATGGTGGC